GTAACAGCAGCTTCTTTCTGTATTGGTGTGGAAGTTTATATATAGAGAGATATCTATAAATATATATAAGCCAAACTGCCTTACAGGTTGTTGTTTTGTGGGATTTTTCTTGGTTTGCTTTTTGTTTTTGTTTTTGTTTTTTTCAGTGTTGTATGTGTAGCAGGCACTTGAGTTTATATGAAGATGTTTGCTTGGGAGCTGAGGGGCAAAGGTCTTGGGAGGGGGAGAGGGAAGGAAGGACGGAAGGAAGGAGCAGGGACTTTCAACAAGTGGCCACTGCTAGCCAAGGATGTCCAGGTAGATTGGTGTGGCCTTGCCCAGAGCATGAAGAATCTTGTAGATCTCCTTGATGTTGAGCCGTTGCTGAGGTTCTCTCTGCCAGCAGCCCAACATGATGTCGTAAACCTCCTTGGGGCAGACTCGAGGCCTTTCCAAAACTCGGCCTTGGGTAATGCACTCAATGACCTGAAAGAAAGAAAGAAAGAAAAGAGATGTTGAACACCAGCCAGGCAGTTCCTGGAGGATGTCCTATTCCAGCTACTTCTTGGCTGATGTGGTACCATTTTGTGAATGGGAGCACTGAGAAGCCAAGGGGTCTGCAGATCCTCAGGCCTCAACTGTTTGTGTGTTGTTAATGATGATTTTACAGTGAGAAGTTTGTCTCCAGCTGCAGTCTTGCAGGTCCCCAAAACCTTCCCCGTTTGACACCTACCTGCCTCAATGTACTTTCCAAACAGGAGGTCACAGGCAAATGAAATGAATTCTTAATTTATGATGTCAGTTTTTCCTGCTAATTGATGAAGGAAAAAAAGCCTTAAAATCCCCAAACTAAAGTAATATTTCGCTCAGCTGAAATGATATTTTTCTTCCCTGAAAATCAAGAGTCCTTTCCATTGCAAAGCCCAGGAGAGTTCTACAAGGGAGAGTTCAGAGCATCTTTTCCTACCTCCATCTCCAAGGGCAGCTTTGCTACATTTTGACATAGATAAAGCAGCTGAAAGAATGAAATTTCGTCTCAAATCATATCTGTGATGGAGAAAAAAAATTTGCAGTGCTGACACTCTGTTTGGGTCAGGCCGGTGCTGCTAATGAGAGAAATGCAAGCTCTTGGATAGCACTAAAGTCTCTTCAGAGGGATGCCACTGGAAAGGACTCCCCTAAGTGTCTGTTTGTGTTTTGTTCACCAGAGGAATGGATGCAAAGGGAAGGGGGGGTATGATTTGTCAGAGAGCTGCTATTACCATCTGGCCTTCTTGGTTGGAGTTGATGAGTCCCAGCATTGCAGTGTGCGAGTGACCTGCCACACTCTGCAGATAAACACAGATCCCAAGCAGCGTCTTGAAGGAAGCCACCCAGCAAGGGGTGTTCGGAATTTATCATTTATGAATAGTAATGGGCCTGCCACGCAGCTCAACGGATACTTATCGCTTTGCTGTTTGCATATAAATATAGAGGGGAGAGATTAGGACCTGCTGAAAGTGGGGCGAGGAAGATGCAGCATGCAGAGAAGCCTGCATTGCCATAAAGCTGGTGGCAGCGGTGACTTGTGGGAGGAGGTGAGTTATGGTTTCTAACAGGATGTCCTGGACATGCACAGGAGCCCTGTGGTGGGCCCTTTCTTTCCAGAGCAAAGGAAGGGCACAGACAGAAGTTAATGGACTGGCTGAGGCTTTCAGATGAGATGTGCCCTGCCTCATTCCTCTGCTCCGGCAGGGTCTCTTCCAGCCTTGAAAAAAACTGCTAAAAATGCTCTGGGGGTATGAGGCCATGCGGATGCCACAGATGGGAGTGGGTATCCCGGCCTTGGTAAGTGGGTATCGACCAGCCTGGTGATTGCTCACGGTCCAGTCATAGAATCATAGAATCATTACGGTTGGAAGAGACCTCAAAGATCATCAAGTCCAACCGTAAGTCCTGGTAGCCTGGCACAGACTCAGTTAACCTGCCTCTCCACGGGACTCTGTAGCTGCGGCCAGGCTGCCGCTGAGACTTACTTTGATGCCTCACCATCCAGGAGCTGGTGGAGGTGTCAGTCCTCTGCAACCACCCAGGTTCTGCCCATCTCTCCACAAACTGTGAAAAATGAGCCAGATGAGAGCTAATGTGGCTCCCTCCCACCAGGATAGTGTGGTCTGGGGTGGGAGTCCTCAGCTCTCAGAAAGAAGTGGATACAGCAATAGGAAAGGGAAGGACAAGATTTTTTCCAGGGATGGTAGTAAAGCCAATACAGCTGCATCTGTGCAGATTTTAACCAGCCGTCCTCCCTCAAGGTTAAGAGTGACTATTCTTAGTCCTACTGCCCTGCAAAGGAAACTCAGACAGAAAGCATGGGGGTAGCTGAGCTGTCATATTCCGGCGTGCCTATCACCCCTGTATAAGCTACATGTGCTCATTTGTGCATGTTTGTATTTCCCCTCCCAGGGAAATGCAAGAGCAGCTCATTAAATAGCGTGACAAATAACTTCTGTCGCTGTCGATTCCATTGTTTGTGTCTCTAAAATGTTTGCGTGTGCTACTTTGGGATATACAGTCAGGCCCCATTGAGCACACGAATGGGCAAGTATTAGAGCTGTAAAGCAACACCTTGGATTTGCCATCTCTGCAACTCACTTAATTAAAGGATCTGTATCCAGAAAGCAGAAAATGCACATTTCTCATTACAAAAGGTGAAATTTCTGAAATCCATTAGATACACAGTAGGATAAAAATGTGCAAGGTTCCCACACACTGCTATGTCAATGTGACTTGTTCCTCTTCTATAATACCCCCTGCTATTCTGAGCAAAAATCTTCCAATGCATTTCTGCTGATGTGCCTCAAACCTCAGCTCTGACACCCTGCTAATCCCAGCCAGCCTTCCCTCAACATTTTTACAGTGCAGCCCTATGCTGATGGGCTACAACTTTTGCTATTCAAAGAAATAACAGGGACAAACCAGGTCCTTGGGTTCCACCCTCGATGAACTGGGGCAAACCATATAATAGATATCCCTATGGCAAAAAGCCCCACAGAACTGTGCCACATGCTATATAACAGGCTTCAAACACTTTCTCACAAACTGGAGACTGCAGTAGGAGCCTCAGCTATAAAGGAGAAAGACAGCAGAGGAAATTCAGGGCATGACAATAACTTAGATCCCAGCAGTAATTTGGGTATCCCCAGTTCTGGCAGAACCCTGAGAGTTTATCAGATGTGGCTGTTATGGAGGTATATCAGGAGCTTAGAAGGGAGAGACTGAGGATGAGCCAATACATGGCTTTGGCAGAGGCCTTTGTTTCCTGCATGCCTCAGTTTCCCCAGCTTTTAAACGGAGATAATGACACTCGTCCCATGGTGAAGCCATGGGAATGCCAAGCAGGGAATCATCTATGGTACAAACCGCTTTGCAAGCAATCTGGAAAGGAGAGATGGTAAAACGTACAGTTTCCAGCTGAGATATCTGAGCACTTTTGTACCTCTGTGTTTGAGAGCTGAAACCAGGGCTGCTTCCCATACGTGAAGATCTCCCAGAGGATCACCCCAAAGCTCCAGACGTCACTCTCTGTTGTGAACTTCCTGTACATGATGCTCTCCGGAGGCATCCAGCGGATAGGCAGCATGGTGTGTCCTCCAACCTGGGTGAGGGCAAAGGCAGAAGGAAATCTGAGTGATGAGAACCCTGAGGAAAGGGTCAGCCCTGACATGATGTGGACAAACTCAGGGTCTCCCTGTGAGCTACATCAACAAGGAGCTGTTCAAAAAAGCTGGGCTGGCTACTGCCTCCCCGACCGCCCATGGGCTTACCCACCAATCCCACCTGGTTAACATGATGGATAGGGAGCGAAATGTATCAAGATAAATGATGTCCTCTCCTCCCAAAATGGGCTTGTAAAGAAATCAAATGACAAAATGCCGAGAGCATACTCCAGCCCTACAGTCTGATGAACCAGGAGGCAAGGCAAGAAACAGTGTTCAGCAAAGTATTGCACTGAGTTTTGCAGAGCCTCAGTACTCTGAGGCACCCACCAGAGATACAGCGTAAGGTTTGTCCCTGTTCGGTAAGGTTTTTCTAAAAGCCATTCACAGACATCTGCACATCACCTAATTGCATGAAAGATTTTGTGCTCATAAAACTGTGCTACAGGCCTTTTCAAAGAGTGCTTTGAATATGTAAATGACTGCAGGACTGCACTGCAAAAAGGCGGTCTGTTTGTAAAGAACAGGCTCTTACAGGCAGGGATATGCCCAGCATTTAATGCAGGCAGGAAAGTCAGCCCCTTTGGAAAGTTTGGAAATGGAAGAGCACATGGGTGAAGCTGGGGTATGCCAAGCCAGGGAAAGGCACTTTCTCAGTCAGGGTCTACACCTCTCCAGGGTACATGAATCCAGCAGGTATAGAGTAGGTTTGCAAGATACATGCAAACTGTTTGAAAGCAGATGGATTTACCTTATCTCCTCTTAGAGATTTCTAAACAAGTGTCTGAGCAGGACAAGTTTTTCTCTGTTCTGTCCTACATAAGAAGCACCATCTGTGGGGAAATAGCTAATTGATAAGACCAGCCGGTGCTGGAAGCAGTACGGCTGCAAGTCTCCAGCACTCCTTTCTGATGAGGGTAAAATGTCTGAGGTTTTGGTGGTGATGAGAAAGAGCGCTTTTGCGGTGCTTCTTGGGAGATTGCTTGTCTCATTAGCAGCACCAAAAAAGCAAATGCTAATAACTTTGTAACACTGCAACTGAATCAAACAGGCAGAAACCTTTCTGGTCCTATGAAGGATCAGGGGAGAAGATACCTGGTATCTAGGTTTTCAGCACATGTGTGGCTATTCAAAATAATGAGATTGTTGCACTTGCTTGAGTGAAAACATTTCTTATACAAACAAGCTCCGAGCTGCCAGTTTCCCCAAGCTGCCACAGGTTTCTTTGCCTGATTAAGGCAGAACTAGTGTGGGGAAGGGTCAGTACAGAGACACACTGCAGTGCTTGGAAAGAAGAGGGATAGTGCTGGGGAGGTGTGTTGGAATGGAGTGTGAAATGGGTATGATACTTAGCAGGCTTTCTGCACGGGGGGTGCAAGTCAGACTTTGGGGTTTGATAGAATTTGGACTCCAGCTTGCACTGTTGTACTCAGAGGTCTGCAGATCACCTCTTCTTCTAACTCTGAAACGGACCCTCCCTCAAAAAAGAGAAGGAGTTTTAAGAGTCTCAGGAACATCTTTCTTTCCTAAGTGCAGAGGTGCTCAGAACTGTGATGCATGAAAATAAAAAGCTCATTGCAGTTCTACACCTCCTATTTAGAGATGGCTTGGCTCCTGTGTTCTCAGCTTGCTGCGCTGAACTCCCAAGAATGTTCTCCTGTAATGGAAATGGAAATACGCTTTTCTTTGTTTGTTCCTTTGAAACCCTGACTACAATTTTAGCTCTTTCCTGCATTCCCAGCTTTTACAAGTTGCTTTCCCTTCTTGTGAAGGACTCTGAGGAAATATTATCAACAGAACAGGACATATATCAAACTTGATTGTGCAAAAACTGTTTTGTGCTAATGCTTATTTTATTCTCCTTTAAGTAGTACTAACTCTTCAGTTTTCCAGCAATCTCAAAATGATTACTTACTGCAAAGCTCTCTACGTTTGCAATATCCTGAATCTTGCAGGATCATTTGAGATTACAGGTAGTACAATGTATTGAGCACAATTAACTCCCTTTTGAACAGGTCTTACAGCAGTTCAGCATCTATGAACCAGGTCCTCAGCTTATACAGACAGAATTACAGCAGTATTGCTTGAATGGGAGGGCCCTGGTTTACACCACTTGAGGATCTGGCCCTGAAAGCAGAGCCGAGAAGCCAGTAGTCCCATCTCAGTTCTAATAAGCTAAAATAAAGTCGAGGTCTTTCGTGTCCTCTAGACACATCCCAGTGAAGAACTGCCAGTAAAGTGACATACACAGTCAACAGCTGTCCCAAGGACGTGATGACACAGTCTTAGCTCATGTGGTGGAGTCCTGGGACTGCCAAAGCATTCCTCCCAGCCCTGTATGTCATGTGAGATGTATCTTTTACTCAAAACTAACCCAGTAATAATTAAAAACCAAATTAATTTTGGGGGAAAAACCCCAAGCAATGCCCAGAAAATATGTGGATCCCGAAGCATGGCTCAAGTATGCTCATAGATAAGAAGGTATTCTTTGCAGAGGTATTCTTTGCATCTCAAACAGGGTGCCACATTTTTGAGAGCAAACGTTAAGTCTTGTACTTGCTAGCTAGGTATAAGCAGAACAAGCATCAATTAAACTGTACCATAAAACCACTCCAACATCTAGGCTAGTGCATAAGGCTGACTATTACATTTTAAAGCATTGCCTTTGACTATCCCTTACTGCTTCCCTCGCAAACTGATTAGGATTAAAATTCCCATTTCACAGATGAGAAAACAGATGCAGGAAGGCAGGGAAAGGCCCTGCTCTGAAGCTGTATAGTAAAGGAACACTAAGTTTAGCCTTCCTGGTCTGCAGTCAGCCGTACCCTGTTATTTGCTGATGTAGCAAAATGATTTAGAGCTGAGCCCAGGCGGATTGTGCTACTGATGCCATAGGAAGCGGAGTGTGTCCAGGGTGACAGAAATCCTTTGCATAACATGTAGTGGCTGTGATCTGTGTTATGCCACTGTAGACTCACACATGATTGCCACGGCTACATACTTCTTTTACAGGACCAGCCATTGCCAGAAGCATAAAAGCAAAATGATGTTATTAAATCAGGCTAAAAAAAAGGATGCTGTTTTTTCTTTTGCAAAGCCAGTTTACATGTCCTTGGTTTTGGAAAGAACCATTATCGTGTCTTTAGAGAGAAGCTGAAAGTTTGTTTCAATCAAGCCTCTGTTTGCTCAGAGCTGGGCCTGGCAGGTTTCAGAAATAAGTGACCATGCAGGACTGATGCTTGTCAGGATCATGCTACTTCTGAGTCTTTTCTAAAACAGTCATGTCATCTTCCCACCCCATCTTCCTCCATTTCCCTTGGGAGCCAGGGATGGGGGAGCCCAGCCATCATTCAGGTTCATCTTCTAAAGGTTCCTAAGGGTGAAATGTCCTCAAACAGTGGCATTGCAACATCTCTCCTGGAGACACTCCACAACCTGGAAGAGGGATTTGCTTTCAAGCAAATAAGGCAAGTAAATCCTCTTCTCTTCCTCTCTTTAAATCCTATGATGCTGCCAAGCTCGCCCTTTCTTCTTGTTATTTTAATGCTTCATAGACCTGCAGACTGGCCTCTTTATCCCATTGCCATGGCTGTCTAGCTTTGCTTGACATTTTTAACTGTCTAACTTTCTCTCCCTAGATCAACTCCCCATGCCCACATTGACAAGTTATTCCTACTGCTTTGCTCTTTCAGTTTGCAGTACTATCCTGGTAATAAATAGAGCAATCGGTGCATATCTTCTGAGCGGCCAGACTTTCCTTCTTCTGTCTCCATTTCAAGATCACAGTATCACCTACTCATTTCCATCCCTTTCTAATGGATACTCCCAAGTGCATGACCTGGTCTACAGCCACATGTTTCTGATATTCCAGGTCACCTGGCCTCTGCTCAAAAGCCTCATTACATGTCCAAGCCCATAGACTTGCAAGATAACCAACCACTCCCTTTGAGCAGCTTCTTGCTGTATTAGACATGAACCTCAGGGAGCTGGGGGAGGTTTGTGAAAGGCCAGCGTTAATGGCCATTGGGGAGAGAGATAATTACTTAATGCTAGTACAGCACTTTGATGATGTAAAGCTATATAAGTGCTATGTACAAGTAGTATTATAAGGCTTGAGGTTTGTCTGCTATGAAGGAAAGCTGGTGTCTGGGGAAAAAATTCTCCTTGTCCCAGCTTTCTGAATGACAACCAGCTGATTAGGAAGGGAAAAGATGATATGTTATCCCCAATGAGTTCGACAGTACAGCAGCAGGTAGTGGAGCAGCAGTGTTCAGCAAAGATTGTGCAATATATCTGCAGTTTGAGCCACTAATAGAGATACCATGGAAGTCAAAACCAGAGTAGGGCTGAAAAACCATCATGAGAACTTTGGACTGGTGTGAATCCAGATACTAACAAGTTAAAGGCAGTGCTTGGTGGGCAGCCCCATTTTCCCCCTTTTGGCTCACGTACTAGCTCCAGGGCTGTAGCCCAAAGTAGCATTCAGAGGGGAGCTACCGAGCCATCCGCCTTGTTCACAGCTGAAGGTTGCTTCATGGATCTCAGCTAAGAATGGAATTAGGTCTCTGGCATGCTCTAAGGTTGTGTTTTATTTTCCTTTTTGTGCAGTTTCCTTCCCAACTTTGAAATAAAATAAAAAAATAAATCAGTGCTTTTGTTTTCCTTGGTCATTTGACAATTGCTTTCCAAGGTCATTTGACAGCTTTCTTCCTGTTCCTGGCATACTTCAGGGAGGCTCTGCTCCTGCTCCTGCCTTGGGAAAGTCACAAGAAACACTGTAGGTCTCTTCATATGGTGCAGCATTATTTGACCTTCCCTTTTACGTGTGGGAAGCTGAGACATTTGAGTTTGTACAGAATCACGTAGCAGTAGTGGAGACCTTGGCACCATTTCTCTCCAGGAAAATCCATTCAACACCCAATCCACTTGACCTAGTGAT